ACTTAATATTTTAATGTATTCATAGTGTGTACCAGTTCAATCATACTTTCTGGGGAAGCTTTATTTTAATGTCGTACTTGATCTATAGTCAAAATTCATCTTTATTACAAAAAAATCTGGAGAGTCGTGACTGTTTAGCATATCTGTTGTGACTTCTTGACCAAGGAACTGATTCTTTAGATGATCTTTTAGGTAGACCTTATTTGATTTCCTGTGTCAGAATGTCATCAACTCTTATATTATATCTGCTGAATTGAAAAAATCTGTTCTCTGTGGACTAAAATTAGATTGCTTGATAGGTTAGGACAATGGATGATCAAATAATAATACTTCTGGATGATGAATAATTATTACCTTTTCTTTTTTCTTTCTCTTCAAATATCCTTTTCCTTTTATGATATTTTTCCTTTTATGGAAAGAGAATTTGCTTTCATGTTCAATAAGAAGTCTGGATAGATGAATGATTCCTCTCTTTTGATCTCTTGTTCTGGCATTTAAATTTAAAATTCTTCAGTTTCTATTGTTTAGTGTAGTATTGTGTGCTAGTTTTTATCCCTTTGATATATCTCCTTCGTGCTTAAGACATTATTGGTCTTAGCTGAATGTCGCATGAGGATATTATTAACTGAAATTTGCTAATGTTTTGTTTTTATCACAAGTTGTATGCTGACAGATTAGTGAAATATTTGCTTGTGTGTAGATTTTGCAACAAATGAGAAATGATGCCGCATTGCTAACACTGGAAAATGACAGTTCTCCCATTCAGAATCCCTCTACTGCAGCTGAAGATGCCCGTTTAGCATCTCTGATTTCTCTCGATAGCATATTGAAGCAAATCAAGGTTTTACCTCTTCTCAAACTTATTGTGTACTTGACGATTTACTGTAGAATTTGAAAAATAAATAATATTACTCTTATATGTTGAGCAGGATATAATGAGGCAATCCTCTGTAAGTAGCATGGGTAGAAGTAAGAAGAAAGCAATGCTAACATCTCTAGATGAGCTGGGAGAACGAATGCCCTCTCTCCTTGACATTGATCATCCATGCGCTCAGAGGCAAATTGCCAATGCTCGGCACCTGGTTGAGGTATGAAATTTTCTTTTGTATTTTCAGAGCTGCAACATTTATTCAATATATGCTTCCTTCTTAGGGATCAAAGTAATTATCCAGAATTGGTTGGTAATTCTGTTTGCATAGCTTTCTTATGTGTTGATCTGGTATTGGGGAAAATAGGTATGCTTGTGCCATAGTTATCCTAAAAGGGCTAAAACATAAGCTGTTGGTTTCCGGAAAGTTTGAAGTGTCCCATATCAGCGTAAGTTCTTCTGAATTAGGCATTTGATATGTGTTTTTGGCTGCATAACGAGAACTCTTTCATCCTGAACTATGGTAATAGGGCTAGTAACAAAATTGCCAAAACAACGTGCACCAAGTAAACTATCGAGTGCTGTAGGTGGAAAGATGATTTCTTACATGATTATATCTGTCCTTTTGACAATTGACCGACATAGTGCTTCACTACATCTGATATTTTGTTGTGGATGGAATTTGTGGCGCTTCAATTGTTTTTCTCACCTGCTATTTAATCATCCATGTACTTCTGAAGTCGATCCGTGAAGAGGATGATCAGGCGCATGAGATAGACCATGCTCAAAAGCCATCTACAGAATTGGGATCTGGTACCGAAACTGATGTTGCACAATGGAATGTATTACAATTCAACACAGGCTCAACAACCCCATTTATCATCAAATGTGGAGCAAACTTGAATTCTGAACTGGTCATCAAGGCAGATGCAAAGGTTCAGGAGCCCAAAGGTGGTGAAATTGTGAGGGTCGTTCCCAGACCCTCAGTTTTAGAAAATATGAGCTTGGATGAAATTAAACAAGTATTCTCCGAACTTCCTGAGGCTCTTAGCTTACTTGCCCTAGCTAGGACTGCAGACGGCACCCGAGCTCGATATTCCAGATTGTATAGGACTTTGGCGATGAAGGTACCATCGCTAAGGGATCTAGTTGGGGAGCTCGAAAACGGGGGAGTATTGAAAGATGTAAAGTCGTGAAAGCAAAGGGTATGTTGTCTTATTTTGTGATGTTGTTTGGGGCGTTCTTTTCTGTTTATAATATTTAGGAGGGACAATGTGGTGTTGTAAACCTGTGCTTTGTAGGGTTTTACGGAGTACTGGAAGTTGGTGCGTTGGTGCCCCTTGTATCACATCTGCCACTGTTGCGGTTGACAATAGTGGCAATTTTATGCAGGCGTCAATAATTTTGGTACTCAATGTACATATTGAGACACAAAATTAACCCCAAAAAGATAGAAAACAAAAAAAAATCTACATAATTAAAATATGAATCAACAAACTTAATAAAATTTAAGGTAAAATATGCAAATAATTTTTTTTGGTTGATTCCCTATATAAAATGATTATTCAACTTAAATAATATCAGGTTGATTGTTGAGATGTATAAATTGATAAAAATCATATAATAATACATTTAGTCCGATTTTTATATATTTTTTAAATTTGATTCTAATTCTTAAAAATCAATCTTTAATATTATACTAATTTAATTCATGTAGACTGAGCTTATCATTTATCTGAAAAATCTAACCAAAAAATCCCCTTCTTGAATCGCTTCATCTTGATAATTTCTTCCCTGATTCGTCTCGCACCATACAATATTACCGACCACCCAAGCATTCTCAAGCAATTGCATAAATTGATGTTCTGGATTTTTTTAGTTAAGCAAGAGGGCCGATTGGAACAAACACCTGACCTCAATCTGTTTGGGTGATGGGAAAATTCAGTGAAGAGTCAAACGGAGAACCCCAATTAAACTTGAATGTTGAGCAAGTGGGCCAATGCTCTATTGTTTTGTTTTCATTTTTCCTCTCATTTTCGCAGCAATCAGACAGATTTTATAGAAAACAAAAATCGAAGAATATAAGATTGGAAATCAAATCAAGAGGGCTTCAGTTTCATCCATTTCATCATCTATGTTTTTAGCGCTTAAATTTGATCGCTAATGAGAAACGGAGAGACTTTTAATATACATCTCTTTCCGCCTCTATCTCCTCCTCATTTTAACATATATTTTTAGGGCCTCTGATTTACAATATTCTTTTAATATACATCTCTTTCTGCCTCTATCTCCTCCTTATTTTAACATATATTTTTAGGGACTCTGATTTACAGTATTCTCAAACACCCAATAGATACAGAAGCGAAGAAACAAAGTTGAGTTTGTTGGTTTTCTGGGGTACCTTTATCCATTGCTTCAAAGGAACCAACGCTAATGAGATGATGAATAGAGTTGAGCATTTATATAAGAAAAATAATTTTATCTTTATAAACAACCCATACTAACAATGATTAGAGATGAAGAAAATTCGATTTGACTTAAAAAATCAAATTTCAAATTATTAAAGTCGAGTATGTAATTCGAGTTTAATACGGAGCTTAGAGCTCATGCAAAGTACCAATCCATGATTAAAAACATATGTTATTAGAAGTTTAACTTAGTAATTTGTCATGTAATAAAGTTTAATTACATCATGATTTTGTCCTTGGACATTAGGTGTCAGATATAATTAGTATATCATAAAGCTCATTAAGTTTATACACAGATTTATATAAAGGTATGTGTGTAGTTCAGTCTTTTGGTAATTTTGGAAGATATAAATTGTCACTAATATTCTAATGGGCTAAATGTTATGCTATATAGATTGAAAATCATGTACTTATGTTACTTTCAATTAACTTGAAATTACCTTCTTAAAATAAATCCATTAATGATGAGATTAACATGTATAAGTAAAAGACACACGAGTGGTACAAAAAATGAAACAGAAGCTCGTGATGGGGAATGATGAAAGGCGGAAGACAAGAGAGGATACATATAGATGGTGAGGAGAAAGAAAAGTGTTATAAAGGGCTTGCTAGGTTCCATAATATTAAACAGTTGAAATGTTTGTATAGATGAAGAGTTAGTTAGTAACAAGTGATTCAATGTGCACAGTTAGAGCATTTACAGGCGTCGTCCAAGTGTTCTGCTAAACGACACAAGGAAAGCAACATAACAGCTCATCTTAAGCCCCCACCCCCCGACAATTCTACAAAAATCTCAATTACGTGTTCTTCTACTACATGACAATGGATTGCAATCTCAAGTTGCAGCATTTTCTAATAATCAAAAATCGTATATTCTTTTCCAATATTACTCTTCTCTATTCAATCAACTTCATTATTATTTATTCTTCTCAAACAGATTTTGGTGCAGCTGTCCTTTCATTTTTGTTTTTAATACCACAAAAAATGGCAAATCTATATGCTAAACAATTAAACAGATGATTTTGTTTATTGGTGGTGTGTTGCAAATGTAAACTGGCCAGATTCTCATGATCGTAAATTGGCATATTTCATCAACATATTCTCTCTTTCATACTCAACTCCCTGCATGAAACACGTTGATGTGACATGATATTGAATAATTTAATGAAGTCTTGGAATGTTATTCCTAAGCCGTGGGTAAGGTTATTTTTGGGACACAGTTGAGTAATGTTTTCACAGATTTTCACGTTGAGATGGAGATTTGCATGGTATTTTGTCGAATGGTCGGGTCATTTGGGCATCAGCCATAATGGGGACAGCCTTGCCCACACTCATTTTTTCTTCTGAAATTAAAATGCGCTTTCGCTGTCTTGAATCTTTGATGTTAACACCATCTACTTGACGGATTGATGATTCCATTCAGATCATCCAAAATATTGAATCCTTGTGCTAAAATTATAGCAAATTAGTTTCGTTTCCAAGTAAAAAAAGAACATCTGGTTTTCACACAGTCGGCACCCCATAAAAACATAGATTGTTTATCAGATACAAAGGGTCGTAATTTGTAAAAGTTTATGCTAATTTGCATAGCTCAAAAAAAAGGGGCTAAGCTTAACAAAAAACACAGGTTGCTGAACTTGAAAATTGAAATGGGAAACCCAAGGTCACCATGAGCGGTAAAAGAAAATGCTGAGCTCTTGACCAATGTTTCCGTCAGGATCTATCAAATGGAAAGATTCAGAATCGACTGAACAACGAACACTTTCGAAGTTGGCCCTCAGGTACATAAGTTCATCGTCATGATGATGACCAAGTTCCTTTCCACTAATCAATCCAGCGCCAACAACTACTGAACTCATTAACCTTAAAGCATCCGTATCAGCTTTCGATGGCTTCCGCTTTACTGCGTACCCAACTTTTCTTCCATTACAGTACATAGTCCACAGTGGCGTCGATAAAACTGACTCTGAATTTCCTGAACTGGTGCACTCCAGCGCAATTCGGAGGATACCACCTTGCATTTCCCTTGCCAAAGCCGCTGTAGTGATTCCAAATTCAAGGAGAATCGGATTGTTTTTGGACTTGGGGTTTGCTTGGATACAAAAGCTGGCTTTTCCTCTACGATAACCAAAGATTGTGCCTGTAATAACGCTAGGAGAAGTAGAGACAGGTGGTGGATAATAATAACTGGGAACGTGATTTTGGTCACGGCCTTCATCGATGAAGGCGCAGTTGCAACTTGGGATGAGGAGTTCCATAAGGGAACGAAGGAGCCGCCATGACCGGACTTGTTTGTGGCAGTCAACAGAAGTAACCCCATTTGTTAGATGGGTGGTGGTGGCACTTATTGACATGTTACTTTGCCTTTGCTCTACAATAGGGTAAAGGCTTGGCTCCTGGGTTGTTGCATACGGTTCAGGCCTTTTTATAGGACATGATTGCTGAGATTATGTTTTTTAAGCTCTTTGTTTTGGTTCAAAGCATGCCCAAATATTATTTATTTTAGTGTACCACAAATTAGACCGTTTGTTATAACCTATTTTTTAATAAACGTGTACTTTTATTTATGGAGAAGTATTAAAATGTTATAATGAATAAAAAATTTATTGAAGGAATTGAAAAATAAAATTGAATCTGCTTTTTATAACCTATTTCTGTTTTTTTTATTTGTTTCGACTTCTCACAATTTTATGATTAATCTTGCAATGGAAAATAATCGGACAAAATTAACAATCGAGGATGATGATAAGGTTACAATTTGAGACAAGAATACGAGATTCTTTCATCGACATGTCTCCCATAGACATCATAAGAATCAAATATAAATAATCGGACAAAATTAACAATTGAAGTATTTTGAAGTTTTAAAATTAGTGTAGAATATAAATAATATTTTGAGAACGTGTGAAATTAAGCCTATATTTAGATATATATATTATAGGGCGCATGAGAGGTAGAGGCTCGAATTGCTGCGAAAGAGCAAAGCAAATGGGGTTGGGTTTCTGCTTTATATCCTGTTTTCTCCACTCGTGTCCGTTGCCATTTTCTTCTTTCAATGCCTCTTTTGTAAATATATAAATAAAATCTTATAATTTTGTTTCAAACAACTCAACTTTTTCCTTGATAAGATCGACACGATCAATAAAATATATAATTATTTCGAAGAAAATTAAAATTTTAAAATAGATACGTACACACCCTAAACCTTCAATGGATGCGTCAATGTTATTAATCTAAACGTGAACGTGTGAAAAATCAAAATCAATTTTAGAACTTAATTTATATGGTTTTAATGTATGAAGGAAATCCTTTTTATGTCTAGTACCTGCCTCCAATTTGATGCACCTTTAATTTAAAGAACAAAATATAATAATATTATTGAAAATGGAAAGCCAAAAACTCAAAAAGAACACTAAACTGATGTATTGCTGAACAAGAAATAAAAAAGGAGCGCAATTATTAAATAGAGAGAAATAAAAAGGAGAATATGTAGAAGATGTTAACTTTGGTGGGATTGAGCATCCACCTCATAATTATGTTCTTTTTGTTGTTCTCGTAATATATCATTGTAGTTGCACCACTATTTTAGATTAAATATATATATTTATTTTTATTTAAATCGGCCAAGCCTGATACCATAAGATCCTGTATTTCAATTAAACAAACAAAAATGCATTTTGCTGATGAATATAACCAAATTATCGTAACAATGTCCAAAAACAGTTTGCATTAACAACGGTGATGGTGTCACAACTTGGTTTTTGAAGTCATTCAGATTTTACAACAGTTTTGCTAAATGAAGGGACGAGTGGGGACAGTCGTACCCCTAAAACTTATAATTTAATATATTTTTTAGATATTTTTTTATTTTTAATTAATAATCTGATTTCACCCCTATAATTTTATAAGTTTGTTCTCTCCTAAAATTTTAAAAGTTTGCTTCTCTGATATAAAATTATGCGTATGTTCTGATTTTGTTTGATTGAAGCCTCCTTCTTCCCGTGTCTTTTGGGCCGTGTTTGACAATTATGTGATGCGGTTGGGTGGAGTCCCTCTCGTGGTGCCTTGGTTTTTGGAAGGGCTTAAGAAAGGGTAGATGTTGTTAGCTCTATTCCAATGTGATTAGTTGTTGGGCCACTTTTATTTTCAGCTTTTTCCTATTGTTGGCTCGATCCTCCCTCGAACTACCTTTGTAGGTGTATGTTTGATGTTGCTTCCTTGTCAACGCAAAGGTTGTCCTAAGCAGATCTAGTTTCCTATGGAGAATCAAGGAATTTGGTTCCACATCACTATTCTCGTTGGTAGCCATGCTGTCTAGATTCCCTTATTTTTCTCATGTCCTTGTTGGTGATATTTCGATGACTAGAAGTTTATTCGTTATGAATGAAGAGGCTTTTTTTCGACCTTGCTCTGGTCCTTATACATTGCCATTCTCTCGTCATCATTCTTGTTGGAAATATTTTGATTACTAGAAGCTTATTCGTTATGAATGAGAAGAGTCCAATGAAAATTCTCTCTTTTTAATCCTTTGGTTTAGATCTCCATGAAACCACCTCAAAATCTACGAAAACTAAATTGAATCTCGAATCAAATAGCCTCAATTTATACCCCTTTCATCGTTCGAATGTTATCCTACATAGATAAGTTACTCTCAACTAGACGTGACATACATTCACCGTTAGGATCTACGATTGAAGATTAATGAGACTTTTGGGGTTTGCGATGGAAAGATCAATGAGGTTTTGGAATGCTCGTTGAGGGTTTATGGGTGGGACTGTTTGGGGTGGTCAGTTGAGACTGGAATTTAGAGGTGATTTGTTGAGATTGAAGTTTGGATTTTGGGGAACCATTTAATAATAACTGCGTTCATAATCTTGTGATATGAAACTTTAGGAGATAATAATAATATCTTAATCATTGAGTTTATTTTTTTTCCTTCGTGCTCTAACATGGCTTGAAACTCCACGAATATTGTCCCCGTCCCAAAACTTATCCCGCATCTTTGCTTGATCAGTTGCTGCTGATCTCTAATGAAATGCAACATGTTTTCGAAAAAGAAGAAGCTCCATATGAACCATTATTCACACTTGAACCACAATTTTGAAATTTCATTCGAGAACGAACGAGAGTTATAAAGAAAGTTGTAGCAGCATAGGCAAAAGATTACAAACTTGATACTTTAATGGCCAAACGAAATTTAGCAGGCCCTCTTAAATTATATGATGAATAAAAAGGCCATTCGGATCACTATAAAAGTATAACATCCCTGTGTTGAAATGATTACATCGTCTCTGACCATTTCTTCACGTGCATGCTTGCTCTCTCAGCCTGCAAAATCCCCAACAAAACAAAGATTCAGATACCATGAAATGGGAGAGAAACGGTAATTAACTTGATGAACAGACAAGATAGAAGAAAGGTCGAACCTCCTTGTCCCAATCACACCGCATGGTAATAACAGCAAGTATCGCTGTCTGAACTGCTGTCCCTCCGAAGATCATTCCAGCCCAAATTCCCTACCAAACATTACATTCCGGCCTGTTTTGAGTTTACGGGTTTCACGTGTCTAAAAACAAGACCTTAAAACTATCAAAATCATTACCATGACACCTAGTTTGAAGCCCCATCCCATCAAGAATCCAAGTGGAACCCCTATGAGATAGTAGCAACCCAGATTTATGTAAGCCACATACGATTGCCATCCAGATCCCACTGCCACTCCTATTGTATAAAAATAAAAACCAAAGTTAAATAACATATATTTATGGAATTCATGATTACTAAAATGATGTAATAGTCTTTACCAGATAGGATGGGTTGAACACTGTTGAGCAAAATGGTGAAGGCTAAGAGCAGTGAGAGCCTGCTGACTGCTTCTAAAACAGGTTGGCTTGTGGAGAAAATAAGAGCAATGTAATCATGAAATATCATGATTAACAACCAGATGAAGATTCCGATTATAACTGATGTCACCACTGAAACTGCTGTTGCAAACTTGGCTCCTTTCCCATTCCCAGCACCCAGCTCATTAGCCACCCTCACTCTGCATGCCTCACAATTTAGTAAACATTTTTTCTTGGAAATTAGTGTTTTTCTTGGGCGACAAGTCTCTCCCTTATTTTGTTAACATCAAATAAAATATTTTATATAAAAACATATAAAAATGTAGTTAGGAGAATTAAACAGGATGAAGTATAGCATTTTGACACGACTCTTGTGATGCAAACACAAGCCACCAATCTAGAGCATTCATACTAGACTATTCGATGCAGACAAACAAACCCACGACGCTTGTGATGCAAACACAATCCACCAATCTAGAGCATTCATACTAGATTATTCGATGCAGACAAACAAACCCAAATAAAAAAAGTTTGTCCCGTTCATATGACACTCTACAACAACAACAAAAAGACGAACTTTCTGCTATATTGTGGTTGGTTGTTGCAGATCTCAGTTCCCGATAAATCAGAGAGATATTTACAACCAAGTATTTGCATTATGACTAACACCAAAGGGGCTCTACGCCAGTGCTTGGGTCAGAAATACGCAGGAAAAATAAGTGGCTACAAAGGAAAGGCAGGCTTACCCGGTTCCAGCAAAGAAAGCGAAAGGTATCATCATTTCCCATCCGTTGATTGACATGCTGCCAAATTTGTCCCACCACAACAAATAAAAATTATAATACTATGATTACAAAATCTACGTTCTTAAACTCATTTTTATAGCCGTCTTATATGACAATTCACCGGTCAACATAATGACTACATATTTACACGGTCAAGATTCATACCATATGGACAAAGCATCGACGGCGATCCTGGCGTTTTGGAGATTCCCGGTCATCAAAATTAATATTCTATAGTACCAATTCTCCAAACTGTAGATTTTCAAAATGTACAATGAAATTGAATTGTTAGATTTTCAACCAAAAAAGGAATTAAATTATAGGATTCGAATTTCAAAAGCTAAAGCATTGATATATCTTCAATATCATATATAATAATATAAATGAAAGTGTTGTAGACCAGGCGCGTTTTAAAAAAAATGGCTCATATCAAATACACATTCTACAAAAACATGTCTGACGGGACGGGTTATATTTTACTTTACCTGGAACTATAAGAGCCTGTTATAGGACCAACTAGAAAGCAATGAATGCGTGTTATATGTGCTAAAAATATTATTAATATGAACGCGGGCATAAATAAAACGACGTCGACGATAGTAAAGCAAATACCTACCAAAGCATAACACCGGAAGCCGCCGAGAGTTTGATGAATTCCCAAAGGCCGGAAAACGCTTCCATGCTGAAACCAGTCCAAGTAAGAGGGCAGCCACCGCAGACGGTGTAGGCAAACAGTCCAACAACCAAAACCCACCACGAAAAATTCAAGGTAATGGCGGTTCCAACCACCCCAAGCTGAAGCCTATACACAAACAGCCAACTCACAAACACATGGACCAAGAGAGCCACCAGTGAAACCCAAGCAATCACCATGTTTTTCAGCTGACTCTGCAAGAACCTTTGCAGTGGGAACTGAAACGCAAAGCTAAAATGAAGTGGTATCATCCACATGGAAACGATCCCCGATAGCTCCGCCACGTCTTTGGGTTGCCCCAACAGCTTCAACGCCGGCGAAGCAAAGAGATACAAAGGCAAAAGCAATATACAGCACAGGAAAAGAACAATCCATGAACGTTGCATATATACTCCCAACATGTAAAACTTCTTCGCCCCAAAAGCTTGGCCACATAGCGTTTCAAGAGCACTCGCCATCCCCAACTAATAACACCAATAGAAACATCAGAATTTGGGCAACTTTTCGTTGCTGTATAAGATAAAAGACAAAGAATTTGTACCAAGAGGCCGAAGTCGAAACCGACGATGACATTGTTTGCGATGGAAATGGCAGCGAGCTCGAGATCCCCAAGGTGGCCTGCAAAGGCTTGAGTGATAACCAGCATAGAGTAAGAGGCAAGGCGGCTGAAGATTGCAGGCCCAACTATATGCCATAGCTTCTTTGATTCAATCCATACTCTTCTCGTAAGAGATTGACTTTGATCATCTTTATCAGCTTCCAAACGTTCTGCCGATGCTAATTCTTCAATCAAAGGAACCTTTGCTTCCTTTAATACACCATTACTCGGCATATTATCTGATACCTTCTGGACTATGAACTCTAACCTTTTCTCTCAATGTATTAAAATTTGAAACGGAAGTCTCGAGTGCCTTCTTGCCTTTTAGGACGCAAGCGTGTATATATATATATATATATAACACGTGCCCACATACACGCCCGAAACCATTAGAATTTGATTTATTTATTTGAATAAAATACGAGAATACACAATTATCTTCTTCTTCTTTTTTCATTGACACTCCAATTATAAAAAGTCACATATTGAATAGTATGTGATTTTAAAAATAATTATATAATTATTTTTTTGTTTAAAAAATAATAATAAATAATAAAAACAATAATATAATAAATATAATCTTTAATTTTAATTCTAAAAATTTAACCATTAATATTTTAATATTACATTAATTTAAACTTGATCTACTTTTGAAGCGCCTTAATGTTTAAAAATAATAATAAAAACAATAATATAATAAATTTAATCTTTAATTTTAATTCTAAAAATTTAACCATTAATATTTTAATATTATATTAATTTAAACTTGATTTACTTTTGAAGCGCTTTAATGTTTAAGCGCTTTAATGTTTAAAAGAATGGTTTTTATATATTAAGATATCAAGTTTGAATACATCGTCTGTAAAGATATATGAGTATTTATCATCAAATATTTGAGAGTCTTTCAAACAAATATCATTTTATAATCACAATCTCATTCTGATAAAAAAATATTACTTACTCTTTTATTTTTGTTTGTTAATCTAAGAAACTGTACGAGGAAAGAAGGGAAGTTGAGTTTTAGATGATCACTACTCTACCAAGGTTAAACTATTGCAATTTATTCATAGTGCATAAATAGTCCGAGGTAAAAAGATAGACGCTAGTCACTAAGTCCAAAAAGTGGCGTGACCTCATTTTCTTAGCTTCTCTTTCTTCTTCCATTCTCTTCTTTCTCCACCATCTTTGAGTTGTGATGTTGTTGGGACAATATCTTAAGATAAAAATCATTCTCTTCATGCCCTAAGCTTCAAAATAAGATGTAAATCTCCATGTTTTGGAGATTATGAAATATTTAGATTTTTGGTGAGATTTAAACTTTGGGAAAGATTTTTGAAGATTTGAGGGTTGTAAATGATATTTTGTTATTCATTCATCCTTTCTTCATGTTTTATGAAATTTTTTTTACTGTTAAATATTTAGTGAAAGAAGCGAGAGAGCCTTTCAAAGTTAAGGTAAGAAAAGATTGACGGTAATTTTGTATAAGGTAATACACCCTTATTCTAGGTAGAGATCATATAAATCATAAATATATAATTTTATAGGTTTAAAATGTATGTTGACGTGTACTAAAGCCAAAAGTGGTTGTTATTGATGTCAAATAACGCATGGATAATGCTTATTGATATCCTTTTTGTTTTCAAAGGATATATTTATATATGATTTATGCTTTATGTTTAAGGTTTATAACGTCTCTCCAGACATTATCGTTTCTAAGTTCAAACATATATTTTCTCTCCGAGAGTACAATATACTTAAAAAAAAACTAAAATAGAATGTCATGGATAAATATAAAGTGTTAAAATGAAGATCAATCTATTTGTTAAATCATTAACTTAAAATTAAAAATGTAAGATCAAGTATCATTTGTTTAATTTTAGAAATTGATAGAGATACAGAAATATTTAACTCGAAAAGTTGAAAACTTAATTTGTCTTGTTTAATACTAAAAATGACCTAAAAATCAAGAACACCTCCGGAGCTTTCTTATCCTTTAATTTGTTTCAATGGTCTGTTGCAACTCTTGTTGGTTCTATAGCGATTTTTGTAGTCTCTATTGTTGATGTTTATAGCTAGGTTGTATCTTGAGAAGCATTTATGTTTTCTATTGGCGATTAAGCATGTCGTTTCCATAAGTGGTGGTTTGTCTTGGGGATGCACTGTCTCTATTTTTGCATTGTGGTTTTTATTGGGTTTTGGTCTTGATTCTTCATGATCTGGATGGTTGTGATAGCGAGGTGATCATGTTTCGAATGCGTGACATATATTTCATTGGAAGATTTGGCACCGTTGGATGAACCCAGAAAAAAATATTGTAGATGGAGGTGAACAAAACCAGAAAGAACTGAATGCAACCTGATTAAAGCCTATCAGGAACTAGTTGAAACATTGGAGGAAGCCAAAGCATCTTTGTGAAATGTAATAAAGAAAGGACAAGTGCAAAATATGTAGAACTATAACAAGTGGCTAGTTGGGGCAGGTTACCCTTGGTGTTGGATTTAGAACCTTTTGATTAGCAACAGTTTTGAGTCTTCCAAAACAATGAAAAGAAGTTTGGAGGAAATAAAGAAAACCATTGGTGCCTTTTGATACTTGAAACTGCTTATTTCAAGATGATATTTAGCGCGGTATAGGAGTATTGGCGGTCGTTGTTGTGGTTAATACTTGGCGTTTGTAGGGCTTGACTAATTTTTTATGGTTTTGCTGTAAGTCCTATCGTATTACAACAGTCATATGATCATGGTGTTTCATTTGTATTATATTTTTCTAGCTAGGGTTATAATCTGAAGATTGATCATGGATGTTTCCTTTTTTTTCAAATATTACTAAAGTCAACGTTAAACCAATCACATGGCCAAAAAAGTAGAAAACTTGCTTGATAATAATAATTGTAGTAGAAGAAAAATGCCCCTACTTTCCCCTTCTTCTAATTTGAAATTGTTTCCATCCCAGTGGGTTAGTGTTGTAATTTGAATAAAAAAAACCCATACCCTTTTGAAACAATTATTTGGTATACGAAAATGTCAAACTCGGCTAAAAAGCTACTAATGAAGTTTGTTTTCGTCTATTCTTCGAACTTATCTTTAGTGCTTTGGAATCAAAGATACCCATACCACGTGAAAACATTAAAAGTACATTTCCTATATTGTAGTAACGTTTCACAATTGCGAATGTTACAAATATTAAGATAAAAAAATATTAAAAACAATTATATTTTTATATTATAATTGCGATTATCCTTAAAATATTATACTATAATCATTACAATGTACTGCAACTGTAATCTAATACTATTCATCCAACTATCTGATTTTGCTTTCAAAATTGCTCCGTTGACATTATTATCTCTTCCCAATCTTAAACATAACAATTAATTTTTTGATAAAATATATATATATATATATATATATATATATATAAACGTAACAGGGTGCATTACTTTTTTTTGGGGGAAAAGAATAACACTGTTTTTATTCCACTGTGGTAAGATGTACAGCAGTCCAATCTCTACAACCGTCCGATCACACCCACGGATACAATCAACCTCCCGTACCCCAAATAATGGACTCGTAATCACCAATCAATCCATATATGACAAATAAATTATAGAAACAAAAAAGAAGACTAGTCGAAAGAAGAAGAGTGAGCAGGAAAGCAAGATCCAAAAGCAGCAACTTCACATTCTTAAGCCAAAACGGCAGCGACGAGAGTGGCGGCAACAGCGGTTGCACCAATGAAAAGGCTGTTGGTTGAGGCGGCAGAGGGTGGAGGAGGGCCTTGGTCAGCAGAAGGCTCGGAGGCCGGAGCACCTTCACCTGATGGGGTAGGAGCAGGAGGTGAAGAGATTGGTGAAGGAGAAGGTGAAGAAGTTGTCGGAGATGGCGATGGGGAAGTTGGCGCTGGAGATGGTGTTGGAGACGGAGTCGGGGTTGGCGATGGAGACGGTGTCGGTGTTGGCGTTGGTGTCGGTGTGGGGGTAGCTGCTGGCGGTGGCGGAGATGTTGGTGGTGCCGTTGGTGGAGCTGTTGGTGCTTGAGCCATGCCAGAGGTGGCCAGAAGACCCAACATAATCAAAACCTTAAACATGGTGCAACTCATCTTGGCTAAACTCGAAACTTGGACAGAGAGACAGGTGAGGGAAGCGGACACCAGGAAGAGTCCTTTGGTTATCGGAGTTGTAGAGACTTTAGAGGTGAGGGAACTGAATATATAAAAAAGGGGAGGGGGAGAACGTGGGAGTGGACAGCACGGAAAAAGAGGGGAAACAACTAAAACAAACAATGCAAATGGACTCTTTTTTATTGTTTATACAAAAAATATGAAATATGTAGCATATATATATTTATATACTATAATTACATACATGCAACCACATGACATGATAGGCTTAGCTAAGCTATGTGCTGGCCACGTTTTATTGGTTTTTTTATTTGAATACAGTATAATTTAATATAAACCACGCGACTTAGGGAGTAAGAAATTATTGTTATTCTGTAAAATTTTAAATTCGAATATTATATATATAAATGTATAGGTGTTTAATAAAAAATAGTTAAGAATGCTTAAATATATATTGTCTTGACTAACTAAAAAAAATCTAATTTAAAATTAAATTTAAATTTAATAACTTTTTTTAAATTTTTTTATATTAGTACATAGTCTATTTTGAGATGTAAATTTTATCCAAAAAAGATAAGTGGTACACGTTGAATAAACGAAGAACAAGTAAGACGAGCAATGTGTTTATACGAGTATTGTCTTCAATCTTTCAAAAAATGTATATTAAAAATATTATGTTTAAACACTTGAAAATCATACCTAAACAATACTCTCGAAAATCTCATTGTTGAACATGATAATTTTGAGATGTTAAAGACATGTCTTCAACTTGATCAGACTCAGCTCCTGAACTCTTTCAGTTGTTGCATTTTGAAATACTTAGAATCTCAGTATCTAAAATTATATTCGATTATCATATTAACATAAGTAAAGTTTAAAACCTTTCTTTAATAGTTCAAAATCAACATGTTTAGCCATCAAATTCTTAAATCACACATTGTTTAGATGTAAGTTTTTTAAATATTTAAGTACAATATTTTAAATTTGTATTTAACGAATGATTGATGATGATAAGACTTATGTACACGTATTTTTATTGTCATCCAACTTGTGCATATGTACAGTTTTTAATAAATAAAAAATCATGTTTTTTTAATTATTTTGTATCATTTTTATTATTTTAATCTAATCTTAAAAAATTGTGAA